AAAACAGAGGAAAAAAAGATAAAGATGAAACAATGAATCTTCTTTATGTTTCTTTCTTTTCTGCTACTGAAAAATCATGCATCATTGATCGTCTAGAACGAATATAAACACGTCTATTGTTCACAAAAGATTCAAGAGGAAAGCTTGCTATGTAGTGAACGAGTACAAGTAGGGCCTCTGTATACATATGTGTCACGCTCTCAACGCCATTATCGTTAATTGTAATCCAATCGTCTTGTCTTCCTTATTCTATTCGTCGTCATCAAAACGACAATGAGGTGTTCTGTCTGACTATATACATATAGATATATTATCTTAACAATAGATCACACAAGCAGTTTCACATTGAAGATGTGTTGCTTACGATAATACAAATCGCAATTATAACTCTAGTAATAGCTTTTGTTAGTTTTCTGATCTTAACCGATCACGTAGGCAACATCAATAAAAATAATCAAACTATTCTTTCTTCTTTTTCGTACCCGGAATTTTCGAATAGAAAATGGGAACACAAAAAAATAAAAATAAAAAAAAAAAAAGGAAAAAATGAGTGAAACCAAAAAAAAAAAAAGAAAAAGGATGAAAAGTTTCTAACAAGCTGTTGCACACACCTATCTTTAACATGAAGCAAAGACAAAAAAGGACACAAAATAGTAGCACAACAGGTTGCAATGATGATGACATCATGTAACACAAGGTAACGGAAGGTTTTCTCTATTATATACCATTGATTTACGTTTTCTTTTTCTCTTTTTCATATAACGACAAGAAGGTCATGCACATAGTATGTTAGTTATCAGTGTATGCATATGTATATATATATATGTGTATAAACGTTCACTTGGCAGAATCGATTTGATTGTATATATATATACCTTGCAGGAGATATCGTCGTTGTTCAACTTTCGCCTATCCCTCATCAACAAAATTCAATGCTTGAGACCGTCAACACCTGTATGACAAGTGTATATATATGTATTCTCCCGTCGATTATCTACAAATTTTCTTCTCTCACTCTCTTCGATGCCTGACTGCTTGATAATGTTTGCGTTCCACCGCGATGCTCCTGGAGGGTAAAGAAGGTACACACTTCCATTATCGTTCGTATGCGAAAGGAAAGAAGAGGTACGTTTGTTTATCTCTTCTCTTTCTGTAAATGGCAGCACCACCGGTATATTCTTTTTCTTCTTCGTCTTCTTCTTGTTCTATCTATCTTGGGATGGATGCCCCCATACGTATATATGCATCTGCCATCTCATCATCTTTCAATTATAAAGTAAACGAAATACTAGATGACTTCTCTCTTCAAGAAAAATAAATATCGCTAAGAAGAAAATGGGACAGACGATGATTGTTGCATCCCTAGAATTGGGGAAAAAAGGTATGAGTGATGTAATGAAAGAATAATAATAATAATATTTCGTCTTGTTCTAAAGCGGCACCAGGTGTTGAAAAGAAAACGACAGAGCAAGAGAAAACGGTACTATCGAATAGATTAATATATAAAGAACAGGACGAACAGAGAAGCTCGACCGGTAGAACATATTTTGTACTCATCAAGTTGTAATAAGGGAAAAAAAAGAAGAAGAGTCAAACTGAGATAGTTCGAAAATTATCTTGACTTTCTTTTCTTATTTTTTATCAATTCATCAAGGAAAATACATTAACTATACATTAAAATGATGTTTATTTTCAATTTTTTTCATATGATTTTCTATATTCGATATTATTCATTGTAAAGAATAAATCTTTTATTGTTATAATAATTCTTGTATTGATATTTATTTTTTAGCCTAATAATTTTTGAATCGTACTACCCACGTCGCACACGCATAAATAGGCATCAATACCATATATATACACGCTTTTTGTGCCGTCTCTCTTCTTTTTTTATACCCCCGCAGTACATACTTTTCATGTTAGACACGGTGCTAGTTGTATATGCTGCAGCACACATGCGCAATGTGCGACAATACACATTATAGAAAAAATCTTATTAAACGTGATTTTCCTTCTATTTCTTTTTTTCTACAAATTATAGACTATATATGCACGTAATGAGGTTACCCATCAAAAACAACACATATCAGAAATATGCACAGAAGAGGTGACGATAATCAGGCACGTGTGTATGTAAGAAGAGAAAAAAAAGACTTATAGCTGATAAGAGAGGTGTGCATGTAAAATAAAGAGAGAGAGAGAGAGAGAAAGAAAGAGAAAGATATAGAGGAAGAAGAACATGGCCATTTCTACTTTTCTCGTTTTCTGTTTTTTTTCCTTCTTTTTCTTAGTGCTGCTTCATGCGCACCTATGAGAGGTGAGCAGAACAGAATGAAAACGTACGATGATTGGCGCTAGAGTAATGTGTATATGTTTATGCTTTTCTTCTTAGATTTTTTTCTCTTTTCCCTCTCTCACGTCTCATTGTAATGTACCACTCCTACGTAGCACACGTTTCATTTCAGTAGCATCATCATCAGAACAGGGCAAGACACATACATATGCACATATCAGCAGCTTCTTTCGTGTGTACCGAAGGTAGAATATCATCGTTCTGCCATTCGTTTGCAACGCGGTATACCCATCATCATAATCATCATCATCATCGTCGAAGAAGAAGAAGACGAAGAAGAACGGTAAAGAGAGAAAGAATATAGATAGCAAACAAAATGCGTTCGTAGCATAGCATCGCTTGTTGTTGCTGACATTCTACAATTCTTTTTTTTTTTTTCACGGTGTGTCTATTTATCTGTCTGTCTGTCTGTCAGTATGTTTTCCCTGACTGCACATCGATATACAAGACAATATGATAGTAACTGACTGGCAGGTATGTAAAGAATATTTATATAAAACATAGAAAACAAATCGGACTCAACTGTATCTTTTTTTTTATTACTATTATCATTATTATTATTATTATTATTATTAAAAGCAAAGTGATATTTTTGGTATTTCACATACGAAAATAATAAATTTGATGAAAAATATTTCTTATTGCAAAATAAATATTCTTGTTTTTTGTTGTTGTTGTTCATATAATTTGAAAATTGAACCTTAAATCTAATTGAATTAATATTGAGAAAAAAAAAGAACACAAAAAGAAACATTAAATATTGATTTTCTTATCAAAAATATTTTTTTTCCTACAATCTTTTTGGCTCACGAGATTACAAATAAGTTTTCTCTTCTCTTATGCGTATACCATTCCTATGGAATTAGCAAATTTTTCTTGACATTTTTTCTCCGATGATGTGCTATGTGTGTGTATGTGTGTGTGTGTGTGCGTCTTAGCCTACTCTCGTTTTCCGATGCATCATCGTTCGTCTATTCCCGTTGAACTACGGAAATGAGAGTGTGTGCCGATGTGTGCAAGCACCGACAGACAACGAGCTAAAGAGGAGAAGATTGTTGCCGTTTTTCTTTTTCTTTTTTTTTTTATTCGAGAGTTTTTCTCGGTGTGTAGAGAAAAAAAAAAGAGTGAAGACAAGCAATGAATGCGTACGTCGATTAGCAATGCTAATATGTGTCAACCAGGCGCAGACTATGTATGTGATTGAAAACCTTTAGATAACGCGTTGCATGCATCTTCTTTTCCTCATCTTGTCTTCTATATTATATTTATATATATATGTGAAGACGAGAAGACGAGTTTGCTCGAATTACGGGAAAATGAATGCAATGAGATTTGTTGGGTAGGACGTGCTGTTGACCTGATTCGGTATATACACATTTTTTTCTGTCTCTCTCTCTCTCTCTGTCTCTTTTTTCTGAAGAACGCGAATCGAGTTTCTTTCTATCTCTCCTTTTTTTTCTCTCCTGACTGGTGACAGCATTTCCTTGTCGTCCTCATTCCAATTATCAAAATGGACCAACCAGTCTCCTCTCACCTCTCTTTTTTTTCTTCTCGCGCGTTCACCGAGGGCTTTGTCTTTTCTTGTTTCGGTCGCTTCTTCTTCTTTTTTGCTTTTTTTTTTTTTATAGTATACTCTCCTATGCACCAATCCATCCCTTCGAGTTTTTTTTCTTTTGCTGCTGTCTCTTCTTTTCTCGATGTCACCCACCTCGCAACAAAAAAAAAAAGAAGAAAACTCGGGCGAACGCAAACGCGGTGGATGAACGCCCGAAGCGAACCCGTGAATAGAGAAGCAAAAAAAGAGTAACATACACATACAAAGAAAAAAACAAGAAGAATCGAGAAAAAGAGAATTCATTTTTTTTTTTGCATTTATATGTCCGGTCGTGTGTTCGATGTTTGTCATTGGAGAAACAATCGAGGTAGATATTTTTTCATTTGCTATCAAGGTAAGATAAAAAATGTCACATGAACGAATCACCTTTTTGTTTTTCTTTCTTTTTCTTTTTTTCTTGTTTTACATGGACAGGTGAGAACCAATCCGAAATATATCTAAATATATTTATTAATACATGTTGCATTTGCTTCTTTTCTATCTCAGTTGGACGGAAGAAGAGTCAGTCGTCTGTTTATGTAAATCAGTGTTCGGTCGGTGGTCGTGTAATGACGTTAGTTTGTAAAAATAATACGTCTTCTACGCGCGAGCGCGCGTTCGCATTCGCATCTTTCTCTCCCCCTCTCTCTCTCTCTCTATCTTGCGCACAACACATCATGTCCGTAGATCGATTAGGCAAGAGGGTACGACTATTACTGCTGTTGCTCTTCCTCGACCAAAGTAGCAAATTTGATTTAGTCGTATGTGCTAGGCTCTTCTTTTTTTCTTCTCTTCGACGCCGTTCATACTAATATCATCATGTTTTTGAACACCGCATGTCACTGTCTATGTTGATTTTGATAAATCGGAAAAATATTTTTTTTCACATTTCTATGTGAAACAAAATAAAAAAGATCATATTACATTGAAAGCAGGTGGATAATAACAATAAGACCTCCTGATGTTTTATTTTTATTTTTCTAGATTGAACAAAAAAAAAAAAAAAAAAATTTACATGACATATAAATATATGTATATGTTTGTTTAATTCAAATGCAATTGCCGATGATCGGTACGATGGAAGTTGATAGTGGTAAATATAAAAAAAAACTTTAATTACGAGAAAAAAAAATAAAAAAAAACTTTTATTACGAGAAAAAAAAAATAAAAAAAAAATTTTCTTTTTTTGTCTAATTTTTAGTTTATGAAAATGGTAATCATTCAACTTATCATGATGATGATGAATGTGATAGTAGTTCACATCCAAGAAAAATTTCACTTGATGAAGATATTTTACCAACAACAGCAATGCCTGTTGATGAAGATGATGATGAACCTGGTATGGAATACTAAGAAAATAAAAATTGAAAAAAAAATTTCTATCTATAATGAGTACTAGATGTGAACAGAAGGTTCATCCGTTTGATCACTATTATATCCCATGAGCATTTTCCTCTTATTGACTGTTGATCTGTGACGACAAAAGGATGAGACAAAAATGCCGATACAAAGAAAAGTACTGACCCCCAATTGTGAATGAGAGACCATCCCCTTTTGATAGACATATACTACCGACAAGCATAAAGACAAAGAAAGAAAAGAAGAAAAAAAAACCTAACTAGATCATCGATCATCAAATGAGACCATGTGCCATCAAGAAAGTATACTCATCCCACCCACTGTGAACAACGACTGTAGTGGAATTTTTTTTTTTATATTCAAGTGATCAGATGAATAAAATCATAGACAGATGGATGATAAGTTTAACTATTGAAACTTACAACATCAAAAAGAAAAAAGGTTAATTTTTATTTTTTAATTTTTTTTTTTGTTGTCTAGAAAATAATTCGTCCAATCAACAACAATCATTTAAATGTCCTTATTGTTCCGATGAATTTCTTCAAATAACACATTTACATTTACATACAACTCAATGTCATCCTGAACAAACAGAAAATTTAATTAGTTGTCTTCATTGTAGTGCAGTTTTTACTAATAAAGTATGTTTTTAAAATTTAATAAATTTATATATGTATATAATTTTGTTTTGTTAAACATAGGATGATTTACATCAACATGAATTAAATCATAATGCAAGTCAAGTAGCATGTCATTTATGTAATAAAATTTTTGCAAATATTTATCGTCTACAACGTCATATGTTAAGTCATGAAGTTGATCCACAAACAAGAAAATTTAAATGTTCTCATTGTTCAAAAGCATTTAAATTTAAACATCATTTAAAAGTAATTCTAACATAAAATAAATAAAATATAAATTTTTTTTTGAATTATTTAGGAACATGTTCGTATACATACAGGGGAAAAACCATTTGTTTGTGCGAATTGTGGTAAACGTTTTTCTCATTCGGGTTCATATTCATCACATATGACATCAAAAAAATGTTATGCATATCCACAATCAACGTTAAATAATAATTTACATTCATCACCAACACAAGTACCACAGACAACAAATCCATCAGTAGCTGCTTTATTAGCTACACGTTCAATGCTTAATTTTGGTCCATTTGCATTAGCTGCATTAGCTGCCGCAGCTGCTCAACAACAACAACAACAACAACAACGTAAAGATTCATATTCATCAACACCAAAATCTCATTCACGTAGTCCATCACCATCAACTTGGCCATCAATATCATTAACAACTCCACCATCATCATCATCATCGGATAGAAATAATAATTTAAATCATGAAATTGAAGCTGGTGAAATTCCAACAATAACATCACCTATACGTAAACGTAAACGTCGTAGTTTATTATCAAATGATCATGATAATTCATTATTATCAACAACATCAACATCAACAAATGATTTACTTGATAAACAACAATTAAATATGTTACGTGCACATTATGCTTTAAATCCATATCCAAATGCAAATGAATTACATGAAATATCAAAACGTGTTGGTCTTAGTGAACAACATGTTCAACATTGGTTTCATGTTTTACGTACAAGTTATGCTGCAGCCAATAATATTAAATCATCTGTTAATACAGTCATTCCATCAACATCAACCAGTGGGAATCAAAATAATAATAATAATAATTATAATAATAATAATAATAATAATAATAATAATGCAACAACACCATTTTTACCTCTTGCTTATTATCATCTGCGTGCATCATTAATGGCTGCTGCTGCAACAAATAATTCATCAGTACCTGCACAACTACCACCACCACCACCACTTCCACCACTTCCATTTTCATCATTGAATTCAAATACATCGAAAGAACAAACTGAACCATTAGATTTAACAGTAAAAAAATCTCACATTAAATCCGGTGAACAACAAATAGCTGCTCATTTACATATGACTGCAACTGTTGCATTTAATAATGATACAAATTGGTATGATAATAAACATGAATGGATCAAAGTATTGTTTTAAAAACGTTTTTCTTGTTTTTATTAAATATAAATTTAATGAATTTATTTTAGAATGAATCATTTAGTCCTGATAGTACAGCTGATAATTGTTCATCTGAAACAAGTCTTTTATCAAATGATGAATCCTCATCTTTATGTGGTCAATTAATTGATAATGATTTAACACGTAAAAGAAAATCATGGAAAAATCATATACAAGGTGAAATGTATGCATGTGACATGTGCGATAAACGTTTTAGTAAACAAAGTTCATTAGCACGACATAAATATGAACATTCAGGTAAATGACATAATTAAGAAAAGCAAATATCAATAATAAATATTCTATTTTGTCTTTTTTTGTTTTTGTTTTAGGTGTTCGACCATTTGTATGTGATGTTTGTACAAAAGCATTTAAACATAAACATCATTTAGCTGAACATCGTCGTTTACATACAGGTGAAAAACCATTTCAATGTACAAAATGTTTTAAGCGTTTTAGTCATTCTGGTAGATAGAATTTCAAGATTATTTTCATTTATTTTTTTTTTATATTTTAAAGGCTCATTTAGTCAACATATGAATCATCGATATAAATATTGTCGTCCATATCAAACGGAAGCTGCAGCAGCCGCTGCTGCTGCTGCAGCTGTTGATGCAGGTCGATTAAATGATAATCCAAACATGATTATGGAAGATGATGAACTTATTGAAGATGAAGATCTTGAAGATAAACAACAACAACAACAACAATCTCAAAATGATGAAGAAGAAATAGAAACAAATCATACAGAAGATTCAAATCAACAAAATGAGATAAATAATGCTACAATAAATGAGTAAAATTATTTATTCGATACCTTACAAACACTCCATTGTGCCATATTCCGCAAGAAAAAAGAAAATATCGAGTTTATATGTAGCCAGATAGAATCTTTTCAATATTTCTCATACCTCAATGAAAGTATATTGCAAAAAAAAAAATGAGAAAAAAATTTGAATTCTTCGGTTTCTTTTTTTTGTGTTTTTAGTCAAATGAAAAATTTTCGTTTCTTTTTCTAGTCGTTCTCTATCCTTCATTGTTGTTGTTGTTGTTGTTATTGATGTTCATTATTTATATAAATATCTATAGATGTTCTTTTTTTTTTTCTTTTTCCCATTATATGTTTTTTTCTTTTTGTGTGCGTGTATGTTCGTTTTCTTTTTTTCTCCTTGTGATTATTTTTCGCCGTTATCTGTTGTTATTTGTATGTATGTATGTGTGCGTGTATGTATTGAAAAAGAAAACAACAAAATATAACACTATCACAGTTCTTCCATATATCTGTGTACAGAGTTTCTTCACTTCTGTTGCTGCTATTGAGTTATTTACTTTTCTTTTGTCTTCTTGAGAAATACCCGACAAACGTTCATTGTGATTGGTGTGTTTCTTCATTTTCTCTCGCTCTCTTTTCTTTTTGCTGTTGTCTGATGATGTTTTATGTTTGTAAGTGCGCGTGTGTGTGGTATGTTGTCTTTAAGAGAGACAGAAAACCTTTTTTTTTTTTTGGTAAAATGAAAAATAAAAAAGAATGTAATGGTCACCTGTCTGACCACACACACATACATATATATACATATGTATATTTACATGTAGAAAGAAAGAAATAAAAAAAAAAAAAAAGATGAACATCTGTTCATATTTCGATATTCACGCATGGTGAGCATGTAATAGACAGAGAGCTGATGGTTTAACGCGTATATTCATTGATGTGATGATCTAATCTTCGGATGACTGGATATACACAATAGCGAATAATCATACATACAATACACTTTCTTCATTTTCTATGCCCTCCTTCTCATCAACCTATATGTACATCTAACTATATGTAAGCAGTCGACCGAAAAATACAAAAATCCGATTTTTTTTTCACTTGTATCATTGTTTTTATAGATAGAAAAAAGAAGAAAAATTTTGCTTTATTCATTATAATGGCAGCATTTCCATTACAATTACCTGTTCCTCAAAAAGATACTCTCGATGATATAACAGAAGAATTAAAGCAATTTGACTGGGAAATAGGTGAATATCTTTTTAATGATTTTATTGAATATTTTCAACTACCACAAATAATTCGTGTTAGTCAACCATGGGAAACAAGTTTAGTTAAAAATGATATACTTCATTTACAATCAGTTTTTGATCGACATTTAATTATATCGAAATCTTTAGTACCAGACGATCGAACATTTATTATTCCAGATTGGTTTCAAGGTCAATGTCGTGTACTATCAGCAGATCCAATATATAAACCTCGTTGGTGGGAATTTACTAATGCTCTAGAATTATTACGTTTTAAAATGCCACGTGAACATATACGTTTACTTCAAAATACATCTGCTCTATTATTATTACCAACAAACGAAACAATACCTGTTTTATTAAAACAAAATACACATCTTACATTAAAACGTATTGAAAAATCAACAACAATAACAGATGGAAAAGACATGTTTGTTTTAATGGATAAAAATGATCAAGAGTTTCTTCTTGATCCAACTGACAGAACAAATATTTTTCATTTTGCTATAAAAATTCTTGATGATGAATTTGATAATACATATCATAAAAATACAACGGATAATTTATTTACATTACCAGAAATAATTATACGTTATGAATTACCACTTGATATAGAAATTGCTACATTGGCAAATACAGTACCAATTGCGAATTTTCCTACAAAATTTCGTCTAGAAAAATTTTGTATTGGTAAATCAATTCTTGCTTTTTCTATAGGTGATCCTAATAATCCACGAATATTAGAATTATCTTCTCTTACACAATTTTCTCTTAATTGTATTAAGTAAGTTTAGGAATTTAATTTTTGATTCAAAACAAATGAAAATGATTTTACTAGATGTTTAACAACCGGTCTACCGCGTGATACGAGTGTTTATGAAGAAACACGTACATTTGATGAAAATGCTTATCGTCAATATGAAACCGTACGAGAACGACTTATACAATTATTTGAAGATATTTCATTACAATATATACGAACACCTTTCATTGGAAGTCAAGAAGAAGTTTGTTTGAATTTATTGTTATTTAAATATATTGTTCGTTCTTATTTTTCTTCTAATAGATTGAGTGTATTGAAAAAGTTTATGATATTGGCATGCAGTTAAAGAGTGAAGATCAAGGTCAAACGTATATTGTGCTCAATCAAGCGAATAGTGCTAGTAATCAACCATTTAGTACAACACCATCGATTAGTAAACATCCAGCTCGATTTACAGTGCATTTACCGGCTGATTTTAGTAAGTTATTGAACATAGTCTTAAGATCTAGCTGTACTTCAATTTTGAAAATAGAAAATTTCGATTAGATTTAAACTCGAAATATTCATCTGAATAGGAACTACGGACATTTCTATAATTGATTTATTGCTAGAAATATTTATTTTCTCAAATATTACTACTAAGACTGATATAATGTTCGAATAAGTTTTACAAGAAACGCTGTTCTGATTAACATAAAACTTATATTTTTTTCAAAGTCAGAACCGAATATAAAAAACCTCTTAAGATCTATAATTATCTTCATATGGTATTTTTCAATGAAAAAAAAAATGTATAATCCAGACATCTGGTACGGTCTACGAATAGTAGCAATGTCCTTGTTTCATCAAGAATATGTCATAATCTATGGTTCTGTAAAGCCAATATTTTATTTATTTATGTCATAATTAATCTTTGAATTAGCATTCAATTTTTATCTAATATAACTGAAATATTTTGTCTAATCACGTCATAAACAATATGACTAATTATTCTTCATTTTCTTTTCTTTTATAGATAGTCCATATAGCAGCGTTATGGATTATGGTGACGACGATGAAGCAGATCATGAAATTCCACCATCAACAAATACTTAATCATATATTTCTTTTTCTTTTGACAATCACAAGTTTTCTTCTGCTTCTTTTTTTTTTTTTTGCAATAAAAAAAATCCTTGTTTTTATTAGTCTTTTTTTAATCTTATCGGATGTATATAATAAGCATCTGCCACACGCACAAAATACATATATAGCAGAACATGAACAAAATAATGTTTATAATCAAAAAATCAAAACAAACAAAAAAAATATTGTTTCTATGCAAAAGGAATAATATTCCATTGCCTACAATAATAAGAAAAGAATAAAATTAGATAAGACAAAGAAAAAAAAAACTTATTAATAAATATAAACTTACGGATTAACAATACGTTTCATCATTGTTGATTGTCGATAATCGGTAACAATAACTCCTGATGGTGTCAATGATATATTACTATTTGTTTTATTGTTTGATATTGGTGATGAAGATAAATTCATATCAGATCGTGTATGTTTTATGACACTATTATTACTACTTTTAGGACTATCAATGAAACTACGATTTGTCAAACTTTCTCCACTACTATTTAATGAACGTTGATGAAGTGCGAAACGATAATGTTGTCGACGATATGAATTTGAATTTGGTGTTATTGGTACTGTTCGTTTAATCCATATTTGACTTGTTCGATCATTATCTGTTGTACTACCTGGTGTTGTTGGAATACTTTCATGACTTATGGAAGTATTCATTGTTTGAGATATTGATTGATCTGAATCAGATCGAATGGATGGTTGAATTTTTAGTATTTGCATTAATTCTTTACGATATGCTTCTCGTTCTAATTTTTCACCATCATGAATAACCTATTAAATATTAAAAAAAAAAAAAGATTTAAAAAAATGAATGTACTTTTTTTTTTTCGATCTACTTTTAAAATAGCTGGATCATTATCAAGTTCGGGAATAGTAAGATTCGTTTGACTATAATAAATCGACACTAAAATCAAATAGAAAAACAAAAAATTTTTAAAATATATTCATGAAAAGAAATTTTCTTACTTATCAGAATGTTATCAAATGTGTTAGATGAATATCTATCTATTCTTTCGAATCTATTACACGATCGTTTTAACGGTCTATTCTCTATTATTTCTCGACAGTTATGTTTTCACAAAGCTGACTATTTAGTATTTTCTTTCGTATTTACTAAATTCGAAAAAGCTTTCTATCGGTTTATAACGTCATCTATCGATTATATAGTATTTACCAATAAATATATTTCGCTTTTTTATTTGGATTTTCTTTTTCTTATTTTATTGTATTAACAATGTCTTCTTCTTTGGAATCTGATCCAATACTTGTCAGTTATCATGACTCGATCGTACGTTTATCAAATTTAAAAACTCTGGATAATGCAAATTGGCTTGATGATAATATAATAACATTTGCTTTTGAATATGTACAATATGAATCAAAATTTACTAATGATGTTAAAAATTTATTTGTACTTGTTACACCACCTGTTGTACAATTATTAAAAATGAGTGATGATTTATTTGCTGAACAACTTCTACAATCGATAGATTTTCTTGAAAAAAAATTTCTTATTTTACCAATTAATAATAATACACATGTAACAGTTTTTGGTGGTTCACATTGGTCATTATTAATCCTTTCTATTCAAGGTATGATAGTAAGAAAAAAAAAAATTCATAATATTTTTTTGCTAGAATTAATGCAAAATTTTCTTCAGAAAAAACTTTATATCATTGTGATTCAATGTCATTATCAAATTATCATACAGCAAAAGAAGTTCAACAAAAATTTCAAGCATTTTTTCATGATGATGTAACTTTAATAAATTGTCGTTCTCCACAACAAAAAAATGATTTTGATTGTGGATTATATGTAATTGTTATTGTTGAAGAGTTTTATCGATTTATATGTGAATATTATTTATCAAAAAATTCGAATGAAGAAAAATATGATAAAAATGTTTTTGAAAAATTTATGAATGAAATTAATAAATCTATTACATCGGAATATATTAATCAACGACGAAAACAATTAAAAACATTACTTGAATCCATGAGTATTGATAAAAAAGAATAATTTAAAAAAAAAAAAGTTATCTATAAACTAGAATTTGTTTTATTTGATCTATCAAGTTCTTTTTTTTTTTTTATTAAAGGTTGAATTGTATCTACTGTTTAACTTATTTCATTCTAGTTACTCTCATAATAGTCGTTTTATTCACATTTATATAATGGTTTAGCAGAGAAACGACTACAAATCAGCATAAGTTGAAGAAATTGAAAGCGACAACAGTATTTTTTAAGTGTACTTTTACAATCATTGGCTTTCTTGTCTTTATTTTTTCTTCAAGCGGAACAGATGGGACAGAACGAGAAAAAAAAACAAAAATCGGTATTGTAGACTCATTTTCGTTAGAATCTTGTCTTTTCTTTCATTTTGCAATCGTCTACAATCATTCTTTTTTTTTAAAACAGTTACTTCGATTGCGATATGAAGTCAACATATCAAAAGTATGCTTTATACATACTTTTAACTTTATTGCGCATCAAAGGTTTTCGATAGATAAATCAAGGATGAATCTGTTTTTTTTTTATTTTTCGTCCTCTAGATTAACTACCTTTTCAAAGAATACTGGTAATTCACTAATAAATATGTCGGGTCGAACACCAAGTTTCATTGTTGTTGGTCTTGTTATTATTATGTTTCTTCTCGGTCTTTTTTACATGTCATGTTCATCAAAAAATACTGAACTTCGACTATCTTTAGAGCAATTTGAAGAACGTATACGATCGGTAAAAAAAAAAAACCATGCTTGAAATATATTCATATAATTATATTTTTATATATTAGTTAACAATAAAAAATAGCGATGCAGAAAAGAAAATTGAAAATGTTATTTCACGTAAACGTGAACTTGATGAAGATATATTAACTATTCGACGACAAATGGAAAAAAAAGATTCTGAAATTAACGATTTGAATACGAAATTAAATGAAAAATCAGCTGAAATTCAAAGTCTTAAAACAGATAAAAATGTTCTTGATGAACAATTAGTAAATTTAATTAAAAAAAAAATAATAATAATTTCCTATTTTATTCTTTGTTTTTTTTTTTTTTTATTAACTAGAAAGATTACAGATCAATGAGTGAAACAATTGTTTCAAAAAATTCATTAATTGAAAAATTACAACAACAATTAAATGATGAAAAACGTTTGTAGAAATATTCGTTTTTATGTTCTACAAATTTAATCTCATTGTAATATTTTAGAATCTCATAATGATGAATTAAATCGATTAAAACAAGAACAAGAAACATTAAAAAATAGTCAATCGTAAGTATTAATTCAAATTTTTCTCTATATTTAAAATAATATTCTATTAGTTTACGAAATAATCAATTACCTGCACAAAATGAACAAAAAAATACTTTTTTTATTCCACAACAACGTTTTCGACCATTTATACCAAATAATGTAACAACAAGAAGTATTTTATCATTATTTCAAGAACCTTCAAATAAATTAAATAATCTAACACAAGAAATTAAAGCACAAATAGCCCCAGCAGCAGTCGATCTTCGAGATCAAGTTTTAAATGGACTTGATAGTAATACAAATACATCAACTACTACATCATCAAATGAACAACAACAACAACAAGATATTGACAATGATAAACTTCATCAAGAAGCTAATCAAAATGTTCCAGCACCACCATTAGCTAATATTGCACAAGAACAACAAAAACAACCAGATCATGTTGAATCAGCTCAAGCTGCACCACAACTTGAAAACAAACTTCATCAAGAAAGTAAGCTAAAAATAAAAAATAAATTGATTTAATTCATTGAATATCTTAGTAAATTAGATCATCTCAACAACATTTATAAGTAAATAGATCAACGAATCTAGTTTAAAATACTAATTAAAATAATTAGTAATCTATTAATCACTTAATTCTAAAAAAAAAAGACCCATTTCTGTCACATTAATAGAAATTGAAATAAATGCATGGAAAGATAGCTTGAAGACAAATCTTTCACAAACAATATTGTTCTTTTATTTGACATGTCGTTTTTTTTTTTAAAGTTTCAATGATGTCTGTCACCTTCTGCTTGAAGAAAACAATGAAAAATCTTTTTTCTTCGTGCATGCCAGAATTCTCGAAAGCATTTCATTGTAGCTTACTGTTTATCTTTTCGTTTAAAAGAGCATGTAAAACTGCAGTGCTTGACCAAATTCATTCCTTTAATTAAGCTTTTTTTTTATTAATGTAGAAAAACCCTCTTCTATAAATAGATAAGCATTTTTTAAGAATTTTTCAAAGTATTGAACTTGTCATCCTTTCTCTCTGTATAAGAAATCAGAATCTCAAAAACAAGAAATCTATCAGACATTGCAGTAGGAAATTTTCTTTTAAATAAGAAAAAAATTAAATCTACAGAAATAAGGATGTATCATAGATGGAACTAATCTAAACTTCTCACGACTGGTACTATAGCAGACGATAACCGGTACCAGTTCCATCTCTGAGACTCACAGAGAATTTGATGCTGTTTATTGAGCTATTTTGAATCTCTTGTTTTAATGAATGCCTCTCGAAAACGTTATGATACACGGCTAAAAATTTTATCAAAACCTTTCCACTAAAGCTTCAACATATCCTGAAAGTTTTATGCAATTCGAATTTACTTGGCCTAAGACCTACTTTTGATGATGATGGAATGGGTAGGACTTTAAATATGAATCACTTTTTTTAGATCAAGTAGCAGCAGACAATTCACAATATCAACAACGTGTAAGATAATATTTCAATATACATGTTTTATTTAGTTTGTTTTTTCGTCTTATTCTCTAGTTACAACGATCATTAAATAATTCAATATCTGATGATAAAAATATAAAATCTCTTGATAATGCTGATAATGAAAATGATGATGAAGAACAAAATGATATAAACAATTTACAGCAGAATATTGTTGCTCCTTCAAATTCTATACAACGAAATAATGTAGAAAATAATAATCGTCTTATGGGTGCCGCTTCACAGTTACAATTGAATGATAATAATAATTATCGTGTAGCTAATCGTGAACGATATCATCAAATTAAGAATAAAATTCTATAAGAATAATAATTAAATAATCAAGAACAAATCGACAATGATAATAATACAAATGGAGAAAATCAAGATGCTAAAAAATGCAATGTTTTGTGATTCGCATCTTACATTTTTCTTTATTTGCATTTATACATATCTTCCCGTTTTCTTTTCCTATCTTTCTAATAGCATTTCTTTTCAAATATGTATTTCTGCTGCTGCTACTACTACTATTGTTCTTCTCGTTATAAATGTTTTGTTTTCGAATGGTTGTTTCTTCCTGTTACTTGACAAAATATTGTGTGTATGTGTGATTTTTTTCCGTTATTTTATTCATCTATATGGAACAATTACTATTAGTTGAGATGATTTTGTTTTCTTGTTTTCTTTGATTTAATAAAACATATAAAAAGCTTATATTTCAACAGTTAAAACAAATAAAAAGTATAACTCAATAAAATTTTTCTTGGAAATTTATTTGTTAGAATTTTTTCAATAACAAAAAGGAATTAAAATATTATCGTCGAACGGATTTAATCAACATGTTTCGTCGTATCTAAATCTTCCATTGATTTTTAAATTAATATTATTTCCAGGAGCGTAACTCAACATTTAAGATAGAGACAACAAGCACAACATAGAAAATATCAAAAGCAGAAGATGATTGAGTTAGATACTCTTCATTATAGTTACGCACCGGACTGTGATTCATTAGAGTCGAGATTGTAATCGTTAGAAGTCTACTTTGAAATTATGTCTCAAGTCACCAACAAACTGTCTTAAATAATTGAATATCATACGAGATAGTCTATAGCTTGACGAGATAACCACTAGAAATGTATTATAAATATACATAAAAAAAAGAAATGACTTTGTTATGATTGAATTAAAAAAGAAATATTCAAATCGATTGTCAGAAAGAAGAAATACAATCTTAAACATAATTCGAATATTAAAATTTTGCGACATTACAAATTTTACTCTAAGATGAGGCATGATTGATAAATTTTTATGAACTATGAATAGTTGAAAATATATTGCAACAACTTTGATACTATGATACGTTAAGGATATGTTCATTTTCTATCATAAATGAACATTACATTTTAATGTTTTCAATTCTAAATAAAAACTCTGCGGTTTCGATTTTTAACAAAAAAAACAACGCACAACTTATTCGACCAAGAAATATCATATACATATCGTTTTCAGAATTCGTTTTTCTTTTTGATTACTATCAAATTCTAATAAAATTGTTAAATGAAGAAAGTTAAGATTATTCTATATAATTCTTATTTAAAATGAGTACTAATAATATCTATTTAAAAAAAAAAGGTCGTTGGATATTTTCCTGATAACTTTGAATCACAATCACTTATTAGGTTTAGATTTATATCGTTTGAAAGAGACTTTCTCAAAGTATATCGATCCATATAAAATTGTTGAATTACAGTTCATGAGCTATTAGTAATTTATTGTTATCTTGAAAGAGTACACTGCGATTCTAGTAAGATAAAATGAATTTTTTTAACTAGATTTTTATTAAAAATAAGATAGATGAGGTACAACTTGACTTAGTCAACGAACATTAACATGTCGTTTAGGTTTGATATAGAATCAATTTAATGAATAGCCCATATATGTTTTACGTTTGAATACGTTTGTGTACACTGGCGAAAATCCTTTCAAATTACTGCAAGCTGTGAAAGGTTTGATGATGCCTTAAGCATTTGTTTGACTAAAGTCACGTGCTCTGATTCTGTTTCGAAGCCAAAACTTACAGATTATAGATGACTATGGAACTAATCACAAATTCAAAAGATAAATTGATATCACCGATGCATTCGTCTTCTCTCATTTTTAACTTTCAGATGAGGATCTAATTTTTTAGAAAAATGTTCAACCTATCCTAAAATCAAAGCATTGCATCGCTTATGATTACCAATACAGTTTTAATAACTTCTATATTACTTTCTACTATGGTAATAACAACAAAAATAGAATTATTTTGAACATGAATAATTTAAAAGAACTATTCATTGAATAAGGTGATGAAAAGCAGTATGTAAATTTATTGCAACTACCAATTTTGTTATTCTTTCTAATTTTTTCTGCTCAAGTAATAATTCACAATATCACTGGATGAATAATATATTTGTAGAGGAGCTGAATAAATCTGTGTGTTAATTCGACCATAAATATTTGTTAAGTGCATCGAAAAGAAATGAAAAGTATTAAAAAAAGGCTAAGAAAGCAAATATGTCTGCTATAGATCGAAGTATTGTTTTCTTCCATATTTAGTTACATTTTTTTTTTTCTGATGATTGTACAGCTAGTTCTATAAGATCTGCCAGGTGAATAATATACTTGAAAAGAAAATGTTGATATTGTGATTGAAATTATGGAGATGAAAAAAAAAACATATGATTGTGTTAAAGCAAACGATCGATGAAAAAGAATAGAATCACATCTCAGAATAATATCGAGCTTATTCATAATTTTTTAAGTAGAATCATTAAAACAGGATCGTATATAAAGGAGAGTATATACGACAGTAACATAGTTCTTCATAAATAGGTTACAAAAATGCAAGGTCATATTCTGGTAGTTTTCTTGTTCTTTGTGTCATTAACTGAAGGATTTCTTTTCGATCGTAAGATGTCTTTTTTTGTTTTTGTTTATTTATTCGTTTATCATATTATTAATATTTCTTTTAGTCTTCTCAAAATGTCCAATAAAAAAATATAGCTCAAGCAAATATATAACGGGCGATGCATTACAAGGTCATAAAGATATGGCTAACCATATTAAATCAGTAGAAAAATCAGCAAAAGAATGTAACGTACATGTCTATGTTAAAGGTTCTTATTATCAAATGGAAGATCCAGCTAAACCAGTCTTAGTTTCTGAAGCAGATATAGTTATTGGCCATGGTTTTCGATTTGAACTTCGTAATACAGATAATTCAATGGCATGCAATAAACTATGTCTTTCAAGAAGTATGTGATTATTTAAAAGTTTAATTTCTTTATGATCTATTCATTCGTTTTTTCTGCATTAAGATCCAAAAGACATATTTCAAGTTAAATGTTTCTTAGAGTCTATTATCAAAGATGGTTTAGTATGGTCAGTTTCAAATCCAGATGTTATAAGTGATGGTACATATGAAGCAGATAAAAGAGGCTATCAAGACCTTAAAATTGATATACAAACTAAATGTAAAAAAGAAGGCCTTAAACGAGAATTATTACAAGTACTTCGTCGAATGGAAGCACAAGATAGCCAAGACACTGAAAGTGATAGCCAAGACGCTACAGATGATACCATTGACAAGAAGAAAAAATAAACAATTGACAAATAAAGACTTTACTTTTTTTTTAGATTTTTATTAGAGATTTTCTTTCTTTATGATTATTTAACCAATATTAAAGAGTTTAAAGGCTTTTTTTTTATCTAGCTTCTACAAAATATCATGTTTGCTTAGTTTTCTTCTATGTTATTTATTAAAAATTAAATATATCAATTTCTTTACGAAAATACTTTACTTATCATAGATTTCTATGCATATGAAATAAGCATAACTATTCTGTTGACAATTTTAATATATTACGTAACTAAAAATAACATTAAATCATACATAGTGAAACAGATAAAATATATATCATGATACCAAGATATTAAATTAACAAGCGGTCGATAAAAACTTATATTCATTATGCTATAACTTTTTTTCTACCTGGAATTCTGACTAAAAAAAAAAAATTCTAATCATTGTTCTACCACGCAACATGATTACATTGACCTGCTCTACTGTGTATAATAGAATAGAGTAAGGTAACCCTATGCATCTTTGCATTGGTGCTATAACTCAATGTCTGAAAAAAGTTGTTAGACCAATCATATGAGATTAAAATTCAACATACGATTTAGTTAATAGTACTTAATCGCAGGAATACAATTTTATTGCATCTATTTTATAAGAAATTTTCACAGTATTGTTTTCATTTACTTACCCATTTAGAAGTGCAATACACAGATTGCGCATCTACGAAGAAATCTCGTTATGTCCATTCAAATAGTGGTTATGAAACAATGTGTCCATTATAGGGTGACTGTTAGGATCTGAAGCCGTCTAAGTTTCTCCTCCTCTACTTCAACACTTCTAGTAGAAAGTTTGTTTACTAATTGTGAAGTAATCAGAAACCATTCTTTTTGTTGTTTATCTTCCATTATTTGAATACTTATGAATTCAAAAGAAAAGTTTTCAACAAAATACAAAACTTTACATTGTTTCATAAAGAAATGTAAATTTGATGAACATTGCTCTACAATTCATTCAAATTTATATTCTTCAAGTTTTATTACGTCAAAACTTTTCAATTTTTGTACTTTAATTTTGATTTGTTTGATACTCATTTAAATTTTTCCATTTTAAAATACCGACAGAGCTGTCGCGAGCGGGGGACATTTTGTTTTTTTTGCTCAATTTTTTTCAAATATTTTCAAAGATCTCCAAAAATTTTCAATAAATTCGTAAATTTCTTTTTTCAAAATTTCGATAATTTATAGAAGTTTTTGAAAAATTTTCCGACTCCCTTTCCCATTCTTTAACATCTCGCGACAGCTCTGAATACCGGATACAGAACCAAGTGAAATATTCGAATTCTCGTTATGATGAACCATTATATTATTTTTATGATAATTAACTAAATGAATTTTTTCATGTATAATCCAACGTGATATTATGATTTCATTGCTTTTCCTAATATGCACTGTTATAACAAAACAATGAACAATAGTTTTAGTGCATTAGCAAGAAATGATCAAGAAAACAAAGTGCACTTATGTTCATTTAAAATAGCAATCGAAACTGTAGAAAACAATGCTTAAGTTCAGAGTAAAAAATTATTCAAAATTAATGTAAAAGATAAATAATAAAATTCATGAACAGAACTTTAACATGATAAATTTCTAATTCTACATTTCTATGAGCTTTTATTTTCTCTATCATCAACTTTCATATGAGAATTGAAGTTTATCATTTCATTGTAGAAATAATCTTGAAATAAAGTTTTACGGATATTTATCATTGACAAATTATTAGAATATTTTAGTTACTTGTGTTAATTTTATTAATCGAAAAAAAAACATTCTTTTCCATGTCGAACCTTGCTTAGCAAAAAAGAAAAAGAATACATCTCTGATGATCACATACGTCGGCAAATGGAAATACACACTGGTATACTTGTGCAAAAAAAAAAAAAAAAAGACAAACCAGAACAGAAATATCAGATCTGTCATAAAAAAAGAAGAAAAGGAATACATTAATCAATACGAAATATGACGTTCTTCATTCAATATGGAATAAATTAAGTAATGTTTGTCGTATAGTTGTTAATTCATCTAGATTTTGTTCCCAGTCAGTTCCAGTTAATAAATTCATAACTTGTTCTGATTTATCATCATCATCATCATCATTATCATTAAGAAATAAATCATCATTATACATAATAAATGTATCATATAAATTTTGAGCTGCTTGTCGTCTAACCCATGGATAATTATGAAGAAAAAATTTTGTTAATAATTTTAATATTAAATTTCTTAATTCAATATTATTAAATTGTAATAATGAACAATATAATTTAATAAAATGTAAATATAATGTTGGATTATTATTTAAAATTTGTAATTTTTTAATTAATATATCTTCTAATAATTGAATTATATTTATCCAATGTTGTATAAATTCTTTCGAATATTTTTCATAATAATTTTCAAATGTTGATTGTGATAAAAGACGTTCACATGCTTGAATACATGGTATTATAATACGTATTTGTAATTGTTGTTTATTATTAAAAATTTTTTCTAAATCATTTAAAAGTAAATTAATTAAATCATAATTTGTTTTATGTATTATTAAATATGTATATAATGCTTGACTTGCACTTGATAATTCACCTGCTGTTATTAAACAATTTAACCATGTAACATAACGATATTTATTTAAAATTAATAATTGTACAATTAATGTAAAAACTATTTGAGAATTACGCCAATCAATATCATTTTGATTAAGAAATATTTTTTCTATATCATTTTTATGTTCAATTGTTTGTTCAAATTGAATATTTAAAAATTCAACTAAAGCTTTACCACTTACCATACGTAAATCATCAATTTTTGAACATAAATTTGTTAAAATTGAAGAAAAACAATTATGAAGTATAGTTAAATTTAAAAATTTTTTATTTTCATTATTTTCATTAATTAATTTAAGTAAACGAACTAATTGTGTACAAGCTATTTCACGTACAAGACGACCCGAATCACCAAAACGATCATTTGTATAATCACGTGTACAACGAAGATATAAATTTATTAATTTATTTATTAAATCTTGATTAGAAAATGGTGATAATAAATCAAGATGAATATTTTCATAAAGGTTACATAGAGCAATAAGTGTATCTTTACGTTGTTTTATTAAATGTTGAGTTTGATTTGTAATTGTTATTAAATTAAATAAACAATCGATTATTTTATTAATTGAGTTACTTGTTAACAACATTCGAGATGGAAGTGATGCAATAGCTAAAGAAAAACCTTGTCGTATATGTTCTTGAGATGTTATGGAAATTTTTCCGAGATAACGTTCGATTAAATGAGATGAACTAAAACAAAACAAAGAAAAACAATTGCAAAAAAAAAGAAACAGTAATTTCATCGAATTTTATTCGATTTTGTTTACGTGCTAGAAGTATTCATCCTCTTATAAGTTACAGTAGGAGTTATCAGAAGCTTTTGAATAAATCTACCTTTCCCAGAAGAGTACAAGGCGACTCATGAGAAAAATTTTACAGAGGCGTAATCGAAGATTATGAATTTTTCAAAATCTTTTCTCGAAAATCCAGCCGATTTTGGGAGTTTTCTGATTTTACGGCGTATAACGTCTATTTGAATATCAGAAAAGTTTTTCAATAGCACCTGATTTTGTAGGTAAATATTAGCAGAAAACTAGCACGCAATAGAAGACCAACTTTAGAAGAGTGATATGAATTTCTAGAAAAGAAATCCATGACTGGTCATTGTTAGAGATGGGATGTTTTTAGTTCTACGATTGATCCAAAAACTTTATTTCCACTGATTGTTTTAGAAACTTGTAATCCGTAAGTTTCCAGATTTTTCTATTGGATTAGAGAATTTTCTTTTGGCTCATAAAGGAGCCAAACTAACTCTGTTTTCATGTTGTTGGCTTCGTCTTTGGCTCATGAGAAAATTTCAGGAAAAATACAGAAACCTTTGAAGGAGTTCGTACACATGTCTCTTCCTTTCCATGATGTAAGCAACTATTTGACTTTTGAATCTTCCATACTTCATCATCTAGTCTAGGTGAGATTTGAAATTATCAGCACTACTGATTGAGTTTCTTCAATATATTTAAAATTCAAAATCTTTAGAACCATAGAGAATAGGTGTGTCACAGTTGACACTTCAATTATTCGTAAAAAACCGAGTAAAAACAATTGAGAATTAAGTTTTTTTCTGAGAGCTTGGCTTTTGAATACGTCAATTTATATTACTACTAGGTTTGAAATAGTTTTAATTATTTCACCTTGAGTTTACAGTTTAGGTTAATAGTTTCAGATAATCACAAACTTCTAACAACAGAAAAAAAATGGCATGTTCAGAAACATTAGCTTATACAAAAAGAGTTGTTGAATGCATCCGGCTCGTATAAAATGAGCTGAACAATTGAAATTAGTTCAGTTATTCGATATAGAACTGTCATATGCCTAATAGGCAAACGATATTTTCAAAAACAAATTATTAAAAAGCTATTTTTTTTTTACATAAATTTGATTAAATATCAGAAGAAAAAGTTATGGAAACAATCACTTAGCGTTTTCTTAGTGTTACTGAAATTAATACATGCATAAAAGATGAAACCACCAGCCCGGAAGCAGTAAGAAGACTTTTTTCATTAGTTAGAATATATTATGTACTATAGAATGCTAGAGTTGACAGAAAAAAAGTTTGGGCTAAAAAAATACATGCATTTTTAATCGGTGCCAAGTATTTGTAAAAAAAAACCTCAACTCTGTCAGATGTATAACAATCTGAGAAAATCGGGCAATTATAGGGATGACTTTCAGTCTTCGTAATCCCGATATCTCATAGAAGGAAACGTTCAGAAGCTTTGAATCTATGACAACTTTTATTTTATTCATTGAGACGACATCTAATCTGAAAGTTTCAAAATTTTTCTGATGAGTTGTTCTCCGAAAGCACAGGATATGAAAGTTCCTAACGACCTCCAATATAAATATACCTGCTATTTGA